CTGAATCATTTTTTTTTTTTTAACTTTTTATTATTTCTGGAGGGTGCTATTTTGCTTATTCCATGGGCTACTTCCAGTTGCTGCTGGTCACAAGGAGAGAATTGAATTCACTACCAGCACAACCATCCTCATCTGCTGTCCATTCTTTCCCACTTCACCATGCCTATGAGTTGAGCTATTTTGGAGGTATGTGTTTAGTGCTCTTTTAAAGGAGCATTAAATCCATGTTCAGAAATACCCTAAACAGGTATAAGGCTTCGATCAGGCAACTTGGCAGGTACCTAAACATGTCATTCCTAGCACATACCCACATTTGTCCAACCCCTCCTTACATGTTAGGAAAAATCACTGATGGTTTTTATCCCACTACCCAGATATGCTTGTTGGGAAGGAAAACAAAGCTGTGAGGTCTGCCCACTGCTTTCCTTGACTTGTTCTGCATTAAAATTTAAGGACAGCATCATTCACCAGCCTCATTACTGCAACAGAACAGGGCTCAGCAAGCAGGGCTGCACATTTTTCTGCCAGTTAAAGGGCTGATGTATAACACTTTGATGCAGCCCACTGGCTGTGACTTAAGAGGCTAAAATTATTGCAGTTTTTCTTCTCTTATGCTCTCTTGGAACATAAGTAATAGCAATAGGGAAAAGAATATCTTTTCTTATAATGCACAATAATTTTGAATCAGCTATTGATCTGACTGAAGAAACACAGCTCAGGAGAACACGTGCCTGTAGAAAGTTGTATAGTCCAGCCATAACATCTCTATTCAAAGCATCTCATATAGCAATTATAGGAAATATTTTTGTCCAAAATCTTGAAATGACAGTGCCAACAAGATACTGGATAACAGAACAGTTCTTTCACTCAGTATAAAGCAGCTTCTCACATCTCCTTTATCTTATCACGAATCATCTCCCATGGCTATGAAGTTTGGCCTGTCCTTCAGGATTATTAAGATAAGATAACAGCCTATTCATGATTTCTCTGAATGAATAGGGAGAGTGTAAATCAGGATTTTGTCTGCAATCTCTAGTCTTAACTTTGGAGTGCAAATGTTTTGGAATGCAAAGCTAACCTGAAATTTCTCAAAATAATTTTTTTTTGCTGAGAGCTTTCTTTCTCTCACAAACTCTATCCCCACAAAAGAAAGCCACTTTGTACATTTTTCTTCATATACTTTCCATTATATTTAAATGGTAGCCACTATCCTTCCATCCACGATTTCCCAGAAAGAGGGTCCTTGATGCAAAGAACAAAATCCCTTGATGCAAAGGATCAAATCCAAACATTTCTACCTACAGAACCCAACTAGATTAGCAACTGAGCTGACTATTCAGTACAGTAGTGCCAATGGAAGAGTGCCCTCTACTACACTTGAGGGTAACACACTAGCTTAAGGGGTCACAAATCAGGCTGTGAATTAACAGTTCTTGCCTCCAGTATCTTGCTATTGCTTCTGCCCCACAGCATCCACCACCTAAGTCTACTGCCTCATTATGTCTAATGACAGAGTTGGCCTGTGTAGGTGACACATGCAGCACTACAGCAATTAAAAAAAATATGAAAAAGAATGCTGTATTTCTTCCTCTACTAATGGTGAGTTTCTTCAGCTATTAGAAGTGGGAGGAGAATTCTGAGATAACTTTTGAATGAAATAAAGTCAGTGTAAACTAAACAGAAGTTGTCTCGGTTCTGTCTCTCAACTGGGAACTCTGCCAAAGGCAGACTTCAGTTGCATAAAGGAAGACTCTGCTCAGCTTCACTTTGAAGCAACTAGGCTCTTCCCCACACATTAAGTGAAAACAAATATATCTGGAAAAAAATCAAAGGCTTCAGAGGATCAGAGAAGGAAGAAAATGTTCAGACTGAGTCAAATGCAAATGAATACTTAATATACCATCAGAGTGTACATTTGTTGATTGACTTGCACTTGATCTCTGTTCAGGCCTTCTTGTTTAAATACTGCACTACAAATGTTAAGCAACCAAAATGCCAGAGTGAGGCATATGGATGTACCTCATCAATATAAATGTCATAGTCTGAATCATCAACGTCAATTCCATCATCATCACCATTTCCAGACTCAGTGATGTATCGATGTCCATAGCTTCCACTCCCTAACTCTTCTGGGTCTGGGAAGATAAAACTGGCATAGTCACAAATGTATGTTTTTGATACAGCATCATTTTCGTATAAGATAAATGCAATAAAATTGGCAATTTTTTGAGAAATAGCTTTGGGAAATAATGCATAATTCTCCTTCATAATGTCAAACATTGGGAAGAAGTTTTACCGTGATTTAGTTGTGGGAAAAAAAGAGAAGTTCTAGACATGATTCCAGAAAACAATAATTATTCTAGTGTATAATAAATAAGAGATTTACACAGCGGAAATGAAACCCAGTTCAAGATACCCCTTAGGACACTGAAAGCAGTTGTACATTAGAACTGATGATTTTTTTCTGAATGAGAAAACATCATCATTTCATAAATCTCTTCATTTCTTCATTTCACAATAGCTAAGGATTTTTGTAGTGATTATTTGTAGATATTTGATACTTTGCCCTTATCCAGGATTGTGTTAATTTTGTGATTTTGTGCTTTTATTGAAATGTGAGTTTTGACCTGTTTTGCCTCCTTTGTATTATTATTACTTTTTTAAAATTGCTTTTTGAATTTTCTTCTCCTTTTTTGGTTCTGTTGTTTTGTGGGTTTTTTTAAAGTTAATCATTTTAAAAGATATGGATATTGTGTTCCCAACATTAGAAATACTTTATGAGACTAATAGTGCAATCTTAGGGAAGTAAATTTCATTCCTGAATTATCAAATGTTTAAAAAATGCCATGAAGGGCATCTCATAGCTCATTAGAACTTACTTTTGTACAGATCTTCAGTGTGCAATGAACAGTTGCATATTTAAGACATACCCCCATCTGTATAATCCTGTAGCCATAGTTAAGTGAGGGAGGGGAACTATAGAGGAGATAGTTAGAAAAGACATCCACTCTAACAACTGTTATGGATTATGTTACAGCAAATCAATCCAATTCTAATAAGTAACAACCTGGTCAAGCCTTTTGCTGTTGCTAATTTAGGTGGCGACTGAGTATTAATCAAGAACTTCTGAAGCCATTTTATTAAAGAGTTAATTTCAGAAATTGTCACATTTGGAAAATAGTTGAATTCTTAGTCTACAGAAGGAAACTTTGTCTAATGGCTATATCTAAATGAGAAGAACTGTCTCAGCACCCAGTGGCTAACATGTTGGCCTTGGGAATGGGAACATTAGTTTTACTAATTAGTTTTACTAATCCACTGGATATGGATTAGTTCTACTAATCTACTGGATATGTGTAGCAGCCCTACTATACTCATGTAGTCACCAAATAAAGCTTATCCCATAGACGTATTTATTAATCTAGAATTTCAAAGTGTGCTCACCAAAGTATTTTATTTTTATTACTATTATTATTTGCAAAATGCCATTTGTCATGATGAGGATGATACAGAGAAGCCAAATGTTCATATTGTAAATATCTCAGGCATTTTTAGTGAACATAAGATATCTTTAAGTTCCCTCTGTTTCAACTGAGCAAAACAGAATAGCTGCTGAATGGCAGTTTTTTCCTTCTTTGTTAGCCAAGTTCCCAAAGGTGATTGTTACTATTCTCCATAGGAACAAATGGGAACTAATAATCTCTTTAAGAAGGATTGCATTAGAGATATCACTGGGGCAATGGTTAAACTTGTTAGTTGCCCATCTAGGTAATCCCAGCCACTGAGAATGAAATCTCCTTCTATTGATCCCTCAAGTGGATTGGTTCAGGGAAAGGGGGACGAAGGTTACATTGGATTTTACAGTAACACACAAATATTGTAGTTACCATAAACCATTATTTCTGTGCTTTAGAAAATAGCCAATCCTACTCAATTCTAGTACACCAAACGTCTCATCTTTGGTTGTGAAAGTTCTGAAAATATTTTCATCTACAGATAAACAGGATGTCAGAAAAATGTGTGTCCAGTAACAAGGATTTATGACCTTCTGGGTGAAACTATAAATGACTATAATATCTTCAGGAGGTTTCCATAAACATTCTCTTTGGAAGTTAAATTTAAACACAAGAAACCTAAATAATCAAAACAATTAAAAATATTCTGAGACCTACTCTAATGATACCAGAATAAAGACCAATGGAAATAAAAAGGAAAAGATAATAAATGTAATGAAAAGAAGGTTTGGATTAAAAACTAGTATAGATGACAAGATACAAAAACAGAAGATTCTTAATACTACACCTCTAATTGTTTGGGATCTTGCTTTTATTTTACCTTTTATTTTCAAAGAATTGTTATTCTGATGGAACCTATGCAACATTTAATCTGTTCCAGAAAACTGCTATATATGTTCCCCACATATGCCATGCTTAAGTATGAAATATAGTTAAGTAGTGAATAGAGGAAACTTTTTTGGGTGGGGGGCTTGGGTTTTCTTGAACTGTACCTATGTTTGGCTTTGCCAGAGCTCAGATACTGAGGCAATGAGAAGAGCAGAAAAAGTTGCTTTTTTAAATAGAGTTGGTGGCCAAAGAAAGTTCTTTACCAGCCGCAACATTTTCAGTGCTAAGCAATAAAAGAAAGGTTGTCTACTCACGGAACATTCTGATTATATCACTGGGAATGCTTGGCAGGCTGGATCCAAATGAATTTGTAGCTCGGATGGCAAACTGATACTTGTTGTTTGGAGTTAGCCCCTTCAGAACCATAGAGTCCATCTGGATCTGCTCTCTAATTGCTGTCCAATTGGTATCAAAATCGGGTCTGAGTGGGATGAACAAAGAGCCCAAAATATAATTAAAGTTAGCTTAGTCAATTAGCAAGACCCAAACATTTGCCAAAATCCAACATTTGCTAAATTTGTCATTCTAATATGAATAGTGAATGTGAAATGTAATTACATGATTTGAGTGCTTTACCCTTGTTGGTGTCTCTTGATTGTTTTGATCTGATTTTGGTAAGCATCAAAAATTAAACCTCAGATCACATTCCCACTTCATGCAAAACAACAACATCAGAAGAGTTATTTATTTAAAACATTGATAACCCATTCTCCATCTGAAAAGGCTCTCAGAGCAATTTACATGTGATCAATAGAATGCAGCAGTTCCTGCCCACAGATTTATAACTTAAATGACCCAACAGAAAAAAAAAAAAGGAACAGGAAGGAGAAAATAGGCAACCCTGGGTATCAGTGCTTAAAACAGTTGTGATAATACAGACATCAGCCCCAAGTTTTTTTATGCAATTCCAAAACCCTTCCATCACAAAGTACCATTTTTATGTAACAGAAGAGGAAAATTAAATGTATGGGGAAAAATCACTTTTGAATTAATTTGATTTAAATTAAATTGCATTTGACGGTTATTGGAATTAAATGAGTTTTGTTTTTGTTATGCCACCAGCCACTTACTTCTTTATGCTAGTCCCACCTACCTTTTGAAGCAACGTGCCACTCAAAGGCCAAGTCAACACTCCTGTTATATTGGTCAGCTGGAATGGAAACATATCAAAAAGAAGAGGGGCTCTGCCATTCTCCAGCATTCTGAGGGAATGGCCTTGCTTCTCAACTTCTTCTGCTGCAACTTAACAGAATGATTGTTGGCTAATGAGAGAAAAGCCCAATGAGCTACCAAATATGACCGCTACCATAGACCAGTATATGCCAACAATGTCAAATACTGACATCAATATTCTCTGGAATGCTTGAGATCAAAGCAAGTCAATCCAACTTGAGACCCAGCAAGCTGATCACATATCATATACTGTAAACTAGATGATTGACAAGATCTGGGTAGGAAGCTTAAACATGTTTATATGGCCGCTCAGGAGAAGATTTTGTTTATTTAAGTTACAGCTATTCTTTTTAAACTAAGCTATTGAAACATTCTTAAATAGCTCTGCTTCTGTGCAGGCAACAATGTAATTAAAACAATATGGAAGAGAACAAAACCCTAAAGCTGCATTATCACGGTCATTTGCATATGAGGTTTTTTTTTTTTTTTAGTGAAATATTTCTGTCCTCTAGTGATGGATAAGTGGCCATGTTATCTCCAGTCACCTCTATGTCAGGACACTTCTCTCTCTTTAGTTCTCTGGCTATACTGTCACTCCAACAAGAGGTTCTGCTGCAGCTTTTTTTGGCTTCTTCAGCTGTATATTTTAAATCCCTGGTGTCCAGCATACAGGCTAAATCAAAAGCAGGCCCAAAGGATACAGAAGTCAAACTTGCTGGATGCTTGCAGAGGAAAAGCAAAAGCATTGACATGGGAACATCCTTGCAGCACTGAGCACTCAGTACTTCAGGGATAAATAGGAGGAAGAGGTTACCCTTTTTCCTGTGGGGCCATTGCCTACGCTGTTCAATATAAATGAAGAAACTGTAATTTTTACCCCCATGAACTTGCTAAAGTCATTCCTACGGAAGTGGCTGAACATAACAGGGACTGAAAAACTTTGACAGATAAGACTAAACTGCGATCCCATTTTCTCTGGCATCCTTGAAATATTTACTGCAGGAAATAACATTCAAGTTTTAGATGTACCATTATTTATATAAGAAACCAGCTGCAAACATTTCTGGCAGTATTCTAATAAAAACTGTAGCACAAGAGCGATATTTTGTGCAGTTTTCTGTTTGTTTTATTTGCAGCCCAGAGATGCTGTCAAAATAGACTCATGTGGCTTTTTTTTTATCAGTCAATATAAGAATGATTTAATCATCTGAAGGTCATTTTTATTGAGCAAGAAGGGCGTACTCTTAAACCAAAAAGAGAGCAATTTGGAACTGTTTGTTTCAGCTTCGTCCAGCTCTGTGAACTTGAGAAACCAATTTCTCCAGTCACAGGAGACAACAAAAAGTTTTTTTTTTAAACAAATCCTAAACCTCTGTAAAACAGACCAAGAAAGAGTGACTCAACTGTAAAATATTGTCTTCATTCTTTTTCTTAAGAAAGAAATTTCTCCTAAAACATTCCCTTGATCCACTAAGAGCCACTTAATTATTTGGCTATTCAGCTTTTAATGTTGATCCAGACCAAGGGGCTCCACTTTTTCTCTTAATTAAGAATGTCTGTCCCCTTTCTTTAAACTCTTTTAATAGCTCTCTTCATTTGATAGATTATTGTGACTTATTTCCCCTCATTACTGAAAATTTCTACTTTTTAAAATGATACTGAGCATATGAAGAAATCCTGCCAAATGCTTCCAATTCTGAATCCGTGTTTGATTCCTAAGGAACCAGCAATCCTAGAGGATACCAGTTTGGACATGTCACCAAACAAGCTACAGAAATTCCCTACTGTCAGGAGAAACCTACAGCAGGTAATTGCGCAATATTGTTCCGTTACAATACTTCATCATTCATTTGAACTGTCCTGCTACACAAATCATGAAAAGGGAAAGGATAACATGTGCAAGAATTCTGATACAGGCTTCTGTATTCTCCCGCCTCATACTTGATCATCGTAGAGATATAAGGAAGACCTCACTTGGATACCCTGGAAGTTCCAGTATGCTCTTGAGCAGAAATGCACAATTTTCTCCAGGCCAAGGGCCACACTTGGCCTTGGAATGATACCCCAAGGGACATGAATAGAGTTATTTACCTTTAAATTCAAATTAGTTTTCTTTTCAATTAAAAAGGAGTTTAAATTACTGTTAAATTTCAATTTGATTATATAGTCATTAAATTTATTAAATGATTGGGCAGTAGTTGTTTCCTTGTCACATTTAAATTATAACTGGTAACAATTTTGGGAGACCTCTGGGTTGTATTCAAGATTTCTATGAGGCCATATGCAGTTCTGGGTCTTCAGAAGGTACAACTCTGCCATTATAGTTTTAAATTAATCCATCTGAAAACCTCCAGAGAAGAATTCATAAAAATCTTCTCTCATCTCATCCTTTTACATGCATGTATGCAGCACATTCAGTATTTGCCCATTTGTACAAGAAAGAGCCAGTTTGCTGTAGTGGTTAAGGCACCAGGCTAGAAACCAGGAGACTGCGAGTTCTAGTCCCACCTTAGGCACAAAGCCAGCTGGGTGACCTTGGGCCAGCCCCTCTCTCTCAGTCCTAGAAAGCAAGCAATGGCAAGCCACTTCCAAAAAAATGCTGCCAAGAAAACTGCAGGGACTAGTTCAGGTAGTCACCAGGAGTCAATATTGACTTGAGGGGGGGGGGGAGGAGGAGGAGGAGGGTGGTTATCATTAAAAAAAAACAACTGTGCAGTGATCCAGATTTCAGGTAATTCAGTGTGTGTGTGAACACCTCCTGCTGGCACCTCCATAAACTAAACCTATCTGCATAAAAAATCATAATCTGCATAAAAAAAAGTGAGTGCTTTGGCACACGCCAAATCACCTTCTCCCCTTCAAATCCAGATCACTGCACAGCACTGATATTATTAAAGTTGAAAGTCTGTAATATAACATCTTCAGATGCTCCAACGAACAGAGCATTCAAAAGGCTTAGCTGATCATTCGTGCCCTGAAATGGCTTTGACAGAAATTTGGTAACAGTGCTAACAAATATCAGGCTGAAATATATGAACTACTACATATCAACATCTGGAAGAAAAATTTATGATGGAGCTTCAACTTTTACAATTCCTCTTGACTGAATTCCAAAGGGATTGGAAAATGTTTATCTTCATTTGCATTTTCTTTAATTTACTTAAAAGGAAGCTAGCATTGTACTCTCTTGCTTTTTATTTATCTATTGCTTTCACAAAGGTGTACAATGTTAACATTTTAAAAATTAATTCTTAAAAACATACAAATGAAGACAAATAATTTTCTGTGTACCTGAGTCGGGTAGGTGGGAGGCAATGGTTCTTGTTCCACCTCCGGAAAATTTTAGATCCAGTCCTATTACAGAAACTGGGAAAATCCAGACTTCAAAAGGACTGTTCAATAGTTTTCATCCACCTGAAAGTAAACATGGTTCAATCCCAGGCTATATGCAAATGCTGCACATTAAGAATTGTCTGAGCTCACATGTAAAAGTACCAGGAAGTTATCAGTGGATTTTCCCCTCTTGTTATGATTAGGGAAATAAGAGTATCATTTTATAGGATATGCAATCACACTTAAGGTTTATAAAACATACAGCTTCAAAGCATGCTCTTTTGACAGATATTTCCACTAGAAACCAGGTGAGAAAGATAAGGATGTCTCAGGCCTTAAACCAATTCTTCTCTCTAGCTTGTTTATTTTAGAATACTTGGGGATTCCCCCATGACGATATCCCAGAGCCTTAATAACTTGCACAAACTATTACATGCCCAAGTTGTATTTAAATTTAAGTCATTCTGCTGATGGCTATTTTTCCACCACAGAATGGATTTGGGATTGAGGCAGGAGTCCAGTTACAGAAGTCCATTCACCAATACTGGCTGTAGCCTCCATCCATGGAAAGTTAGTAAATCAGGAAAAAGAATTCAAGCTGCAGAGATTGTTAAAAGATAGAAGGATATTGTATAATAAAATCTACACGTGAATGTGTAAATGGTACAGTCCTAGGACAGGAATATAAGCAATTAAAATAAGTTTTGCAATGGATCTGCCTGTATCCACTCAGCATATTTACTGGCTCTCCAAAGGAGATTAATTGCATTCGACTATCTCAGAAATCCAACATGAACAAATCAGCTATTACAGTATCATCTAAATTCCTTTATTATGAAAGTGACTAGGGATAAGTGGTTCAATGAAGACTCAGAAGCGCCTCACCTACAACTCTTTTTCTTGTAGACTCTTCCATGTACACTATTGTGTATACTACCCTCACACAGTAATACTATATTAATTTTAGTAAGAAAACTTTGTGTAGACTTCCTTTTGTATATTTTGTCTTCATCAAGAGAAATGATATACAGTGGGGCAAAAAAGTATTTAGTCAGCCACCAATTGTGCAAGTTCTCCCACTTAAAAAGATGAGAGAGGCCTGTAATTTTCATAGAGAAATGATATACAGTGGGGCAAAAAAGTATTTAGTCAGCCACCAATTGTGCAAGTTCTCCCACTTAAAAAGATGAGAGAGGCCTGTAATTTTCATAGAGAAATGATATACAGTGGGGCAAAAAAGTATTTAGTCAGCCACCAATTGTGCAAGTTCTCCCACTTAAAAAGATGAGAGAGGCCTGTAATTTTCATGATTTTTAAAGAATTTATTTGCAAATCATGGTGGAAAATAAGTATTTGGTCAATATCAAAAGTTCATCTCAATACTTTGTTATATATCCTTTGTTGGCAATGACAGAGGTCAAACGTTTTCTGTAAGTCTTCACAAGGTTTTCACACACTGTTGCTGGTATTTTGGCCCATTCCTCCATGCAGATCTCCTCTAGAGCAGTGATGTTTTGGGGCTGTCGCTGGGCAACACGGACTTTCAACTCCCTCCAAAGGTTTTCCATGGGGTTGAGATCTGGAGACTGGCTAGGCCACTCCAGGACCCCGAAATGGATTTTTAAAGAATTTATTTGCAAATCATGGTGGAAAATAAGTATTTGGTCAATATCAAAAGTTCATCTCAATACTTTGTTATATATCCTTTGTTGGCAATGACAGAGGTCAAACGTTTTCTGTAAGTCTTCACAAGGTTTTCACACACTGTTGCTGGTATTTTGGCCCATTCCTCCATGCAGATCTCCTCTAGAGCAGTGATGTTTTGGGGCTGTCGCTGGGCAACACGGACTTTCAACTCCCTCCAAAGGTTTTCCATGGGGTTGAGATCTGGAGACTGGCTAGGCCACTCCAGGACCCCGAAATGGATTTTTAAAGAATTTATTTGCAAATCATGGTGGAAAATAAGTATTTGGTCAATATCAAAAGTTCATCTCAATACTTTGTTATATATCCTTTGTTGGCAATGACAGAGGTCAAACGTTTTCTGTAAGTCTTCACAAGGTTTTCACACACTGTTGCTGGTATTTTGGCCCATTCCTCCATGCAGATCTCCTCTAGAGCAGTGATGTTTTGGGGCTGTCGCTGGGCAACACGGACTTTCAACTCCCTCCAAAGGTTTTCCATGGGGTTGAGATCTGGAGACTGGCTAGGCCACTCCAGGACCCCGAAATGTTTAAGTGGGAGAACTTGCACAATTGGTGGCTGACTAAATACTTTTTTGCCCCACTGTAGTTCACAAGCTGTCAAGCTTCATATGTGCATCAGAAATCAACTGATTGATGCAAATATTTCCACCTTCTATAGCCAAAGGTAACATTTTTAGAACCACCTTTCTATCTCACAGGTTGCTTTAAGGCCACCTAATTGGATAAATCTATCTTTGGTTCAGACACTGTGTATTTGTTTCTCAAATAGAGGATTTGTGATATCTAATTTTATCGTAAGACATACAATAATATTTTGGATTACAGGGTGAGATTTAACAGTTAAAGACACAAGGTCTACATATACCCAAAACAATTCCTTCATACCACAAAAACCCATGAGCCTAGAATGTTGTCCATGCATGAAATATATGTGTTTTTTTAAAAAAGCAATCTTTTGGCTTCCAAATCATGCTGCTTTCTTGGGTCATGGGAAAAGGCACGTTTCAGAATGAGGTTACACAAACAAAAAAAAGTGAAAACCACTCAGCTAAATTCGACTGCAGAATATACAGCCATCTGAAGAACACAGAACCGATAGCGAAGAAGACCACACCAATTTTCCCCAACAAACAATAGAACAACTTTTGAATTGGATTAGGAATGAGTCACTAAACTTTTTGTTTAATAAGTCTAATAAACACATTTAATTAAAAAAAAACTGATGGAACCCGGCATCCTTAATTAAAATTAAGAAGATCTGCCTCAATTTTATTCCTTTTAAAAATTTAATTGCCAATAAAGAAGGAATGGGACTGGATGACTCATACTGATATTAAAACAGGCATTCCTACAATGGACAGAAAACTGAAATTTGCTCAAGATATCCTAATTATCATGTGGATCTGAACAATGTGTAATTTAACAAAAAAAGGCAAAAGGTCTCATTCACCAGAGAATGTTTCAGAGAACATTCCATCAGCAGAGCAAGCCAATGTAAACATAAAATACTATATGAGTTTACACAGGAGTTTTCCATATACACAACTGATCCATCCTTAGGTGGAGTCCACTGGAGTTGGGCAGCCAATACATTTAAATAAATAAATAAAGTGGAAGAGAAAAAAATCTACAGCAACAGCCAGGAGATGGTTCAGAGTGCAGCTGACAGAGAGGAGATGGCACTGTAGTTTCTACTTAGGCTCAGTTGGGGAACTCAGAAACTAAGCCCAAATCTGCTGCTGCTGCTGTGACTTACACCAAATAAAATAGCTTAAAAAATCTATTTTAAGTACGTATATCCAACAGCTCTTAGCCAAGGAAAATACCTCAGAAGTCTGTTTAGGATTTCAGAGGCCTCCAGAGGTGGGAGCTATGTAGGCAGAGGTACATGTCCATCGTCCATTATAGGAGGCAGGGGGAATGACAAAAGCAGCATCATGCTGTTGAGACTCAAGTTCTGCCCCTTTTGTATACAGGGTGTGACACTGCACACATATGAAAGGGAAGTATTTGCACTATGGCAGTGCAACGCTGCTTTTATCCATTTGATAAATCTGTCAGGTCCTACTGAAGCCTCAGTACATGGGCGTCTGACAGGAAGAAGGGAAAAACACTGATACATCCATGCAAATTAATTCTGTCCCCTTTGTACTTGGGTCAGTACATAAGGAGAGGAGCATGCTTTATGACAACCCAATGGTCATTTCATCATTCTGACAAAACCTCTGGATGAGTCTAATTCATAATTCCCATTCACCAACAAGCAATTGGTAAGAGACATTATAGCCATATGCAGAGATGCTGACAAGGTAAAAGGACCTGGCTTGACCATCATAGGAATGGGTAGCCTTGCTTCAGAGATTGCTGTGGTTTCTGAAGGTTTGGAGATACTGATTATACTTTTGAAACTGATGTCACTTGAACTACAGTAGGATGTGAGAAGAGGGCACAAGGGCTACATTGTTGGAAGCTGAGAGTGGCAATTGTCAGAGTAAATAAGGGTTGATGTAGCAATTGAGATTCTAATACCAAAAACTTACTTTCACAAGAATGTCCTGAAAAGTGGTAACAGTGTGGCACTTGAAGTGAATTAGGATTAAGTAGAAACCAATCTTTCCATATTGTATTTGTTACTGGAAGGGTGGGGCTTTGGAAGATCTCAGGCTTTGGAGATCTCTGCATGAGTTAGTGCACAGGTGCAGAACCTATATATGTGCATCACAGACAAAAAGAAGAAGCAAGACTGACTTGGTCCAAAACCCAAAAGGAATTCTGAAGCTGTGGTGAGTCAAAGCCATTTAAACTAATGAATAAATAAGAACCAGTTTCACTCACATTAATGACATCAGTTTGAAACATTTGTGAACCCGCATATATGGAAAAAGTGCTCACATGCAAATGCCATAGGCAAGATCACCTGAAAAATTCCACTGTGTAGTACTCAATTGGAGAACTTCCTTCACTTGGTCCTGGTTTCCATGACAAAGCAACTTCTGAGTCAGAAACAACGATGACTTGAGGCTGATTAGGTGGATCTGGAGGCATACATTTATCTAAGAAGAAAGGAAGAAATTATATACATCATCAGACCCTTTGGAAAACTCAGAAATGCTTGCAGGAGCAAATCCTCTTGTAAAATTGTAATGATGAAGATAATTGTTTGGGCTTTCTTCTCATCTCTGTTTCAATCTCTGGAGAGTTGCTGCTATTCAATATAGAAAATACCACTATTTTTTCCCCTTCATAGGGGGAAATACTTAAAAGATGAAAGTCTTGTTCTGAATGAATTAATATAGTAATGGCACAGAATTGATACAATTATGGCACATTATTTCCCTGAATGAAATAATACAGTTATGGCACAGAATTAATATAGTTATGGCACAACATATAGTTGTGGCACATCCTAAATTCTAAAATAAAATAATTCTCAAATGCCCTTATAAAGACTTTTGAAAAGAATCACAGTGGCACCAAGAAAGCATGTCGTACTAAGTTGATGAAGATTCTCAGTCATCCAGGTGAAATTATCTGGAGTTCAGACACGTCATACTAAGTTTATTCTTTTGACTCCTTAATAATCCTCATCATTCTTTTCTTCATGCAATTGCAACTACATCCTGTCTCCTGGCCAGAAGCTTCTCTGAAATTCCCCTAACTCTCTCATTCCTATTTTTGCACTGTACTGAACTTTACTTGATGTCCCCATGTACCTTTCTAAACACCCTTACATGCCTACAGTGAAATCTGTCTCAATCAGCACCCTTATTCGAAAGCTATTCAAATAATATTTACCTTGTGATAAAGTTGTTACATTTCTAGGCATGCTGGCTTTGCCTCTTCCTGCCCAGCCATAAGCTCCCACGCTTACACGATGGAGAGTCCCTGGCTTCAAGTCTCCGATAACAACTTCCTGCTTGGAATAAAAAATATGGAAAGAGATGGAGAACTTTTTTTTTAATGGAAAGGTAAAATTAAATTTTAGCCAACCATAATGATTTATAAATATATGTTAGAATACACTAAGATACTCAATATACTAAATTAGATGTTCAAAAGGAATAGAATAAGGAACTGGAGTGTCTACCACACAGCCATCAATGGAACTCCATTTTGGTACCTACAAAATGGTGCAGTACTAGAGTATATCAGGCAATGTCTTTCCATAATCGAATCTTCCTATCTAATCTGGATGTCTAGAAAAGGTCTGTTGAGGGTCCCTCCTCCTCGCAAGGTCTATGGGCCAGGCCACAAGCCTGTTCAGTGATGGCTTATCCTTTGGAACACTCTTCCCTCAAAGGTATAGATGGCCCAATCCTGACTACTCTTTACAAACAAGTTTAATCCATTCAAACATGGCTTCAGCCCTTAATTGCTTTTGGTACCTTCTGGGGTGGTCTAATTCTTATTTAAGATTTTTTTTATATATATATTGTATATCGTGCTTTGTTGCCTACACCCAGAATTAATCAGGATTGGAACAATCTGAATATTAAAATATGATCGTTAATATAAATATTGTTAAATAAATAATTAAGATACATTTCTATAGATCTAAAATTATAATCAGTTTGACCAAACTATTATTGCACATCTGTTGAAATCGCTTTTGAAGAAGAAATTATCAGGTACAAATAATCTGCTGAAGATGAGGTGTCCGAAATGCAATGCTGGTTCATATGATCTAGCTGTAAGCTATAATGGCTCACTTCTGGACAGAAGTTATTTTATATATTAATTTTGTTCTAGAAAGACTCATAGGATTTTGTAGATGATCATATTCTTTTGACTTACATACTGATGATTTGGAAATTAACTGGAGGACAACAGAATGGATTACTGTAATGCATGGTTCATAGACTGATAAAGATCTCAGAGATGGTTTCATAAACAACTACCTGCAAGGTTCTCCATTATCAAAAAAACACACTCTTCACTGGTACATAAGTAATCTATCAGAGACTGAAAAAAATCTCCACCCTAATGTATTGACGGATAAATTGGTTCTAAACTGGAAAAAATTCCATTGCTGAAATTCTTGTAATCCTATACCTTTCTTCTCTATACATCCTGCTAAAAAAGATTCTGAGAATCTTGCTTGGAAGAATTACTTTCAGGTGAATCAGTTGCCAGAAGCCTGACAGATACTGTGCATGACTGCAGACAAATAAGACAAACAAAGCAACTATACAATGGTCTGAAGAACATCATTCTTTCTATATATGAAAAATATTTTATCACTGGATGTCTCAGTTAGAAGATGACTCAGAAGCCTGGGGTGCTTATACTGTACTAGTTTATATTTGATTTCCCATTTCCTCATTATTAAGTATATAAAACTAAATATGAATAATTTATGATATGACATGAATATAAGTCTGAAATTAGTTTTAACTAGCATGAGAGGGATATGTTGTGTGGGTTTATTATTTTTCTCATCTTGCATACTGGAGAAAATAGAGAAGTAGAAACATTGCTTTGGCCCATTAGACATAACTGTTCTATTCCGGATTAGTCAGAATGCATATAAGGTACTGTGTCAAGTTCTTATCTCTCCATTTCAAGAAAGGAATAAACTTTCAGAGAAGGGAAATCAAAAAAACCAAGTCCTATGAGGAACAAATGAAAAAAAGGGGCATGTTTTGGAGAAAAGAAGATATGATTGATATCACGGGCTTTTGTACAAAACATGGAGCAGACAGTTCCACATTCCCCAAAACATTCAAAAATGTAATGTCATTCATTTAAACTTACAGGTAGTCCTTGCTTAACAACCACAATTGGGACTGGCAATTCCATTGCTAAGTGATGCGGTCATTAGGCAAGACATCACATGACTTCAATGGACTTAGGACCTCACTTCTGCCGCAGTCATTCAGTGAATCACCCAGCGAGACACCACGTGATTGCAACTTGTGATTTTACTGCCAGCTTCTCCACTGACTCTGTTTGTCAGAAGCCAACTGTAAAGTCCACAAATGGCAATCACGTGACCGCGGCACACTGCGACGGTCATAAACACCCACCAGTTGCAAAGTGCCCCAATCTCGATCATGTGACTGTGGAGACCCTGCGATGGTCATTAAGTGCAAGGACTGGTCATAAAGTTACTTTTTCAGCACCACTGTAACTTCGAACAGGTGCTAAAGAAGGTAGCCATTAAGCAAGGACTACCTGTAATTAAAATTACATAAAACAATAAATATTCTAAGCACATCCTTTTACCATGTGATGCTAACTCTTCTTATCAAAAGAGTTCTGTGATGCAAGATAGCTGATGCCTTCCTAGTCACTTAGCCTTCTCACCCTAACCCTGTATTTGAGCACAGTGCTGATTAGTCCTCTGTATGGCTAATGGAGAGCACAGTGTTAATACTGCTGGAAGGTAGTGTAGAATTCAAGGATGCTAGTAAATGTATTGCTATCTTGGCATAATGGCTTTTGATTCCATAGCTAATGTTTGTCAACTTTGCTTCTGGAAGTGGCTAAGGAATGGATAGGTGACATGAGGTCCCCAGATTTGTTGACATCTAAGGCTATCAGATGACCAGAGCCAATGGCAAGCCACTGAAGGAGTTCTGCTCCAAAATATTTGGAGAGCACCAGGCCTAGGAAAATTGCAACTGTGTGACAACTGTTAGACACAGCAACATAGCATGGCTTTAGGAAGGCCTCATGGTTTTGCATGATTGATTATGCAACTTTATAGAATCCTAGCATTGGATAGGGCCATTTAGCCAGCAACCCCAACACAGTTTAATCCAGGATTCAAATTAAATAATCCCTGACAGATGACCATCCAGCCTATTCAAGTGACAACCTGTCATTATCATCAGGGTTTTTTTCCTAATTGGAGTATATCTTCCTGTAACTTAAATCTGTGTCTTGCCTTCTGTGATTACAGAAAACAGCCCTTGGCTTTCTTCTGTATGAGACCCCTTCAGGTTATGATAGACCCCCTCAGTTATCTTTTCTCAAGATTAGTTCCATCAATCTCTGCTAATAAGAGTTTCCAATTCTCTAATTATTCTCATTGCCCTTCTTTCCATCTGTTTCACGTTCTCTGAATGCAGAATGCAGCAGAAATATTACTCCCCCTGATTTTGAAGTTATACATCTAGTGGTACAACCCAAAATTGCATTCATCTTTTTAGCAGCCATGTGACTGACTCATCTTTTGGCTTATAAACAACTACCATTCCAAGATTTTTTTTCACAAATACCATGTATTCATTATCTTATATCTAGGCATTAGATTTCTATGTCCTAAGTTCAGAACTTTGCATTTGTCTCTATTCAACTGTGTTCTGATATTTTCAGTCCATTTCTCCCATTCTTCAATATCTTTTTAAATTTTATTTCTGTCTTCTAGGATATTAACTCTACCATCAAATTTTGTGTCTCTGCAAATCTTATAAAGAAAAATAAGCATTCCCTCTACGTCCTCATCCAAGTAATAAATAAAAATATTGAAGAGCGCAGGGTCAAAGACTGAACTTTGTGGCAATCCATTCAATATCTTCCTCTAGTTTAATGAGGATGCATCATTTCATTAATCTATCAAGATTATTTTGAATTTTGTTTCTCTCCTCTAGAGTACTAACTAGCCCATCTTAAAATAATATGTGTGGAAATTTCAGTTATGACAGCTCATTCTAAAACTTTTTGCCCCTTAATCTTCCTCCCCACCCTTCCCATTTACAGATATTTATAATCTTAGTCATAGTACATGGAAAACTGTACAAAGTTTAGAACAACTTGAAATAGAATTTCCAGGTGCAGAAAGCTGGGAAGCTGTCTGCCAAATCTCACTGTGCTGGTGTTGTTTTCCCTCCACTGACTCCCTTGACAAAACCATAAGAATATAGCCCCAGCCACTGCTTTTTTATTTATACTTCCAAGACAATAAATAGGAAAAAATAAAAGACAGTTATTTTTCCTCACTAAGACCACGATTTATACTCTCAAGTTCAAGCTCGTTGCTCCACATGCTACTACTGGAGTACCACTTACTTTAAAATAATTGATCTCTCATGAGGAGAAGAACAAGAAAACAACATTTTCTCCAGCTAGTCATTCACCAGAGGCATAAGTGTTGCACACAGGATTAGAAGGGATGAAGGATCAGGAGAAAGCTGCCATATTCTCACAAACAGCCTCTATTCCCTTATGCATATATCTTTATATGAATTACTGTATACCCTCTCATATTCTAAGGCAATAAGTTAAAATAAAATTGTATTTTTTTTGGCAGTACAATCCCACAAAGACAAAACTGTAAAAAAAACATTTCTTAATGGATTCTGCATGCAAATCTATCTATCTATCTATCTATCTATCTATCTATCTATCTATCTATCTACCTACCTACCTACCTACCTACCTACCTACCTACCTACCTACCTACCAGTGTCACTTTGCCTGTTGGGTCAGAAAACAAAGATCTTTGCAAGATGTTATTGAGTAGCCAATGCAATCTTAATATCTTGGTTAGAGTTCAGATTAGTTTTTCTCAGCAACGGTGCATTTCAGATCAAAGGCTCCTATGACATAAATGGTTTAGGGGAAGTCTAATCATTTCTCTTCACAGGTTCTTTGGTTCAAAAATTAAATGTTTACAAGAAAACCGGGAAAGCTGTGTATGAAAAACACGGCAAACTCCGAAAGTTCAATCACTCATAAAATATACATTTCCTTACTGAACAAAGGATTGCTGATAAGTTTTTTCCCCATGATTTTCCTTATGTATTTTTATTCAGAATGTTCTGAGGTTTTTTTTTTTTTTGCAATGTTTTCCAGGTTGGTCTAAAATGTATTAAAATGCATATATTATTATGATAGGTGGAGACCAATGTGATTAAGCTGCCCAACATGTAGGAAAGCTTAATCTACTTTAGACTGAAACTCCACTTAGATTAATTTGAGAGTAAATCCCACCAAATGCAGCACTGATATGCATAGGACTGTATTGTAAGGGTACCACATACTCCTGAATTATCCCTCAGATTTCCTCAACCTGATGTCCCCTCACACTGGAGCTACAAGTACCAGAAATCCCAGCCATCTTGGTCAGACTGACTAGAATCAACACATTTGATGGATACCAGCTTGGGAAAGGCCACTTTAACTAACATTATGGCCTGAATAAGTCTGAAGTTTGGAGTAGTTTTATTGGTTCTAATGAACATCTTATGGATACTGTTCATAAAAGCCCACTTTCAGATAAAATTTTAAAACAACAACCAAACATTTATATGATGCTTTAGGATAGTCTACTTCAAAAGTAAGCCAGCAGCCATCTC